CTTAGCTCCTTTCCCAGCCTCAAATGCTGTAAACACTCGTGCTTGACCATAGAAGTTAATCAGTAGATACATTACTGGTATGATCAAAGGTACTATGGGAAATATTGCTTGAACCTGAAATTGTAACGGAAAATATTGAAAAATACTCCATAGAAACAACTTCCAATAATTATTCATTATTTTTGGTATGAAGGCTTATATATAATTTGAGAAAGATATTTGTGAGATAAAAATATTTCCTTTTTCTTTAAGTCAATGAAATGAGTTCACACAATTTTCTGGCATCATGAGTATAAAATTTTCTAAACAATGGCAAAATATTTTATATACAGAAAAAAGATAAAAATAATAATAAGATTCTGTACTAATTTACCTGTAATGTAATGATCATTTCTGTCCAGTGTCCAGTATGGCCCTTTAGATGGATCAGTCTGACAACATTGGTCACAAACATAATCAACTACAATTAGTAAAAGAACACATGAATAAATAGTATGGATGCATTCTTAAGAGCAAGGGAGGCAATCCAAGTATTTCATTTCAAAAAGTTCATCAGGATTAATGTTCTTTTCAGTGAAAGATGACAAATTAATTTTTTTAATGTTCCTTTTCTGGTTCAGAATGAAACAACTGCACATACCAGTACTACAGGAACAATCCTATGACCAATCCATTTGGTCATTATAGTATACTTCTCATGTTCTACAATACTGGGCGGGCGATGAGTATCTTGAAATATATGTCTGTAACAAAATAAAACTTCTATGGATTACATAGCTGCTTATCTGTTTGTTTTTTTACATTAATTTTAACAATTTTTGGTCAGGTATCCGTACTGGTCCACCTAATTGGCTGTCCTGGATAACTAACCAGTAATGAAAATTTCTCTGTAAATGACCAACTATTAATCCCACAAGATTTCTGAATGACCATTAGTCTCAAAGCCCAAGAATCATTGTCACAGAATAATTTTGCCTATCCCGATGATCAAACCAGCGACTTTTGATTGCAAATCTAATGCTCTCCCTATTGAGCTAAGCTGAGGTGGATAGGATTACACAGCATCAAAATGGTTCATATTACAAAATACTGTTGCAGACCAGAGCACTCCTGTCTGAATAACAGCTCAAAAGCCCCTTTTTAAACAACAAATTGTCATAAAAGAATTCCAACTAAATCTTAATCACTGTTGTTCATTTAAAAATACATTCTCATTACCTATTGTAATAAGTTTTATTTCAATTTCAAACTTATCCATATTTTTGCAATAAAAGAGAAGTTCATTTTATTTTAACTACTTTATAAACATAGTGCTTAGTCTGCTACATGTACCTAACATTTTATCTCACCTCAAGCATTTTACATATGGTGTTTCAAGGAGTAAGAATTTCTGAGTTTGAGTTGGAGCTCGAACTTTTGGCATGTTGTAGATATCAGTTTGTATATCAGGGGAGAAAACCTCTCCTTCCTCCAGAATAACTGTGTCCATACCAACACCTATACTCTAAAATAATGTTTATACAAATATTCTAATTACTTCAAAATATAATAACTATTAAATTAGCTTATTTTCAAGGGTGTAAGAAGAGAAGTATCAATGGGCATTTCATAATGCTTCAAGTCAAATGGGATTCAAAGCTAAGCAGAAATTGTTTAAGCTAACATACATGTATATAATGTATCAAATACTGAAACTCTTGTCAGTAGAGGCCGCCATGAAAATTTAACCAAGCTTTTAGGGAAAATAAAAAAAATAAATAAACCAGTACATGTCAAACCTCTCTGTAAAAACACAATCAGTAGTCTTTCAGATAATTTTGCACACAGAAACTAACATTACCACCTTTTCACGACAGCTGTCCGATATAATTGTATTAATAAAGATGTGGTCTTTAGCACATGTAAGACTGTACAACTTAAAATGTCTAACATCATATACATGATTATCAAAATAGTATGGTCAAACATACCTTTAAAAGTTTACACCTTGCAGGTGCTTTATGTCCAGGCCTCAATAATATGACATCTCCTTTAACTAGCAATGGGGTTGGCATATTATAAACATTTCCTTCTCTTAGAGTCCACACTAAGGAGAGACAAGGAGAAGATGGGGAGTCTATTCCTGGAAAATATGGCCTGTTCCATGTATTGTATTTCATGCAAGCTGAAAATAAAAGACAAGTAATTATTAAAATTGGAAGTTCAATGCAGTTGTCAATTCATGATCTCATTCTAATTATTAATAATTTATTACTTTCTTATTTATTTTTTTGTTTTGTTGGGTTTTATGTCACACAAACACAGAAGGACTCATGGCTACTTTCCAGTTTTACTAGTTGAAAAAAGACCTCAGGTGCCCCTTCATGCATTATTTCAGGCACAGATGGACACCCGAGTAGAACCACCTACATAAGTACATTCCATAAGCCAGCTGGATAGCTTCCTCACATGAAAGAATCCAAAGTTCCTAGCAGGATTCAAACCAACAGTGGTGAGGGGCAAGTGGTTTTAAATCAACAACCTTAACCACTGGGCTACAAGTTTTTGTCATGAATAAAATACAATGAAGATACTATCACATTTTTTTCTCTAAACACTTTCATTTGTAAAATTTAATATTGCTCTTATACACTTACAGGCCAGTCTCTTCAGAATTTCCTGGAGAAGGCGGACAAATTCATATCTCTCCTGTGAGGCATTGTGTAGTGCTATCCAAACATTCCCTGCCACAGACACCAGGATTATACATGCTTCAATAACTATCCATATGCTGTCATTGCTGCTTCTGTAAAAAAAACACACAAAAAACACATAAAATCACCTACATTGTATTATCACTTCAAAAAACTAATATAATAATTGGACAAATTTTATAGGATAATTCAACCTGTATATAATGTTAACACAGCTGAGAAGGAATTTTATATAAAGAAGTCTCTATTCCATATAATACTCTTTCTTACAAATTTTGATATACAAGTACCTATCTTCAGTATTTAGTTAATATACTTCTAAATTGTCGATCAATTATATTACACATTTTTCTTATGATAAAATATAGCATTTAACATATTCAATGGAAATTTGTCATGGTAACAAGCAATGATGTACAACATGTGATCAGCTGATTAACTACCCCTACATAAGGCTTGAAAATACATATATACCAAACAAATTCCACGTAAAATTAATAGAAAATATGCTCACTTTGTTTCACTAAAACCATAAGCAACAAGTAGAGCCACAGCTATGAGAACAGCTAACACAAGTGTTGTCCAGTGATACAGATTCCGTACAACACCATGATGAAATACTGACAGATATCTTCTTAAGCTTCTTGACTGTTTAACACTTAATGTATATGTTTCTAGCTCTGATGTAAGTTCTTCATGTAATAGTTCTAGAGCTTGAGACATGGAGTATGACCTCACTTCCTCCTCCTGTAAATATATTATGTAAAAGAAAAGTTTGTTAATTCATGTATTTACATCAACTGATACTACCAGACTAACACAACACAGTTTGTATTAAGACCCCCACAGTTACACGTTTAAATGGATTAAGTTCGATTTTTATTCTACAATATTTTTTATTGTTTAATTGAAATGACCATATTGTCTATCAATATCGCCGAAGCTTTACGATAGCGTGAAAATCTAAGGCTAGCGGGAAAGCCCGATTATCACCAAAACGCGCAAAGGATTGTGGGTCTGAATCGGACGCTCGTCTATTTTCAGAGTTTCCTATCCGTTGTTTATATACCTTATATTTAGCTCTATGATATTAGTCAACTGACATATCAACAAAGTCGTATCACAAAAAAAACTCACAGCCACATGAATATATTCTTATTAGCTTTTCAAACAGTCATTATGTAGTAAATCTATGCAACCCGTATAAATAACCTTGTCCTGTTATTCAAAACAAGATACGAAAATATTTTGCACGAAACGACTTTAAGAATGTAAACACTATTCATTCAAAACATTTAATGTAGATGCATTTAAATATTGTTCATGATATAAAGAAATCAAATTAAAGATAAATCATTACCATACTGAGGCAATTATCTCTAAACACGTTCTTTCGTTAAGAAAATACCATGTCAACTGTAGTCATAAATTTTAAGGACGAATCTTCGCGCCATAAACTACTGAAAAGTATTTTAAATGCCAAAAAGAACAGGCAACCTCCTTAATCTGTTAATGACTTTATAAATATGCTATGGAAATGTAATCTTGCTCTTTATATATTATAACCAAAAACTAGAATGAATATTTGCTGCTCTTATCATTTTCTAGCTTTACAAGTTCTAAATTAAATGTAGCATTCCTGTTCAAACTGGGACATACTATATGTCCCAGGTTCAAACCATGCCACCAAATTTTCATGGAAATTTTAAAAATGTATTTAAAAGTAAAGTTTTATAAGATGAACAAAGTTAGTAATTTATACTCTGCAAATAGCTCTTAAATGCATGTTAATTACCAAAAGGGCCAAAAATATGCAAAATAGCCCATACAGTGTTAGTCATGCAGTATTTTATGCAGTATTTTATGCAGTATACTATATGCCATATAGTATGACCCTTGATTGGTGAAATAAAATTATTCTATTCTATTCTTCTATGCAGTAGTAAATACAGTGATCGAAACGTACTATCTCACACAACTTGTAAATTTATCACTCAAATCTTTTAACCTTTCTTAAAATCTTCGTAAATCATTCTAAAGTTTGATTTTCTTGAAATATTTTGGCTCATCAGGAAGCATGCAGCTTTAAGTGAGTACCCTAATATATGGCATTTATGGATTTTTTATTATCAAAGTGAACAATAGAATGATATTTGAAACAATAGTGCCATGGTGACCCTTTATCATTCACTAGACTGAAGTATACAATGGTTGTTATGGAAACTCAATGGTTGACTTGCTATGAATGTCACATGTTGCATTAATAGTCAATGGTATCTCTAGAAAGTAAATGACTGCTTTCAAAGTCACCGGTTGCTATGGAAAGTTAATGGTTGCTTTGGAAAGTCAATGATTGTTTTGGAAGTCAATGATTGTGATGGAAAGTCAAAAATCACTAAAAAGTCAGTGGTTGCTATGGAAGTCAATGGTTGCTAGGGAAAGTCAGTGGTTGCTATGGGAAATAACTGGTGGCTGTGGAACATCATCAATTGAGCACTATGAAAGTCACTGGTTATTATAAATGTTAACTATGGAAGCCATTGGTTGCTATTGTGAGTCATTGATTGCTTTGGAAATCATTGGTTGTTATGGAAGTCAATGGTTGCTAGGGAAAGTCAATGGTTGCTATGGGAAATAACCGGTGGCTTTGGAAAATCATCGGTTGAGCACTATGAAAGTCACTGGTTATTATAACAATCAATGGTTAGTATGGAAGCCATTGGCTGCTATGGTAAGTCATTGATTGCTTTGGAAATCAATGGTTGTTATGGAAAATCATTGATTGCTATGAAAAGTCACTGATTGTTAGGGAAATTAGCGGTTGCTATGAAAAGTCAATGGTTGCTTTGCATGTCAATGGTTACTATGGAAAGTCATTGTTTACTATGGAAGTTGCTGGTTGCTATGGAAAATCAATGGTTGCTATGAAAAGTCATTGGATGCTATGTAAGTCACTGGTTGCTATGGAGAGTCAATAGTCACTATAGAAGCCACAAGTTGCTATGGCACTGGCTGCTATGTAAGCCACTGGTTGCTATTGAATGTCAAGAATTGCTATGGAATGTCAATGGTTGCAATGAAAGTCACTAATTGATATACATACAAAGAAAATCCTTGATGTCCCCACTAATGGGTGGAGCCAATTTATCCTCAGGGCTATAATTTTATCAAACTTAGTTGAGGTCAACACTATAATGTTTCATGCCAAATATGTAAGCTCAAGCTCTTGTAAGTTTTTGATATAAACATACATGTTATTTTGTATTTTATCATTCCTTTATTTAGCAACTTATGTACACATGATAATGAAAATGCATATATACAGGCATCCGTGGTAAGTTATTCCTTGGTACATAATTATGATCCTGAAGGGGACATTGAGAAAACCAGACAAAACCCATTGTCCGAAAGCCGTCCAGTTTTCTAAACTTTCACTGTAAAAAGAATAAGAGCTGTTGGAGGACAGCAATGCTCTACAATGTCAGAGTTGTCACAAGGGTGTTTCATTGAGTAAAATAATGCTTACCTATATGAATGCATAAAATTGTCCAGGCTTATAATAAAGATAGTTTATCAAGTAAATCACTGCTTGATTATTATGAATGCATAAAATTGTCACAAAAAAGGCACAAACCCTTTAGTAGTTATGGAGATATGGAGTTATGGAATTTGTGACAAAAATGTTAAATAGTCACAGAGAAGAGTTTCAATTCATTCTCTTCATTTAAGTTATAAAGATACCAGCTTACACCAAGAATTTCTTAGTCGAAAAAGGGGCATAAATATGCAAAAAAGCAAATCAGAGTTATGGGACTTGTGTCAATTATGTTAGATAACCAAAGAAAACAAGCATGTGAATTTTTATCAATTCCCTTCATTAGTTATGAAGATACCAGCTTACATGCAAAAACTTAACCAAGAATTTCTTAGTCAAAAAGGGGCGTAAATATGCAAAAAGGGAATCAGAGTTATTGGACTTGTGCCAATCATGTTAGATAATCACAGGGAACAAGTGTGTGAAGTTTCAATCCACTCCCTTCAGTAGTTATGTAGATACCAGTTTACATGCAAAAACCTTACCACACAGGGACGCCAACATGGGTGATTGCATTAGCTAGAGCTAAAATTTCATCCAATTAAAGCATTGAGAGGTAAGGCATTCTGAAGAATGCATTCAGGTTATTTCATTTCATTTAGGCACCAAGAAGTTTCCATCCCATAAAAGCATTAAGATATTTCCATTTCATCAAAGCATTAGGAAGTTTCATGTCACTTATACATAGAGGTTTCCATATATCAACTTATAGAAATGGTAAGTGTAAGTTTAAATAACAGCCGATTTTATTGAAGAACAGGTAGATTCCAAGCCATTTAAATTAAGACATTTTCAAACCATCAAACTCAGAAGAATCCAACATATCATAGAAGAAAATCCAATTCAATCACAAGGAAGTTTCCATCCACATTAAACATTAAGAAGTTTCTCCCCCTTTTAAGACACTCCATTTTCATGTAGAACAACTTCCATTCAAATTAAGAGAAGTTTCAAACTTCATTTAAGCTTACAGGAGTATCCATTCCTATTAAGCTTGAAAAAAATAAAATCTTAGGTAAGTTTCCACTCAATTTAAGCTTAAATAAATCTTAAGCCCAGTTAAGCACAGAGGACTTTCCAATCAATATTAGCATAATGGTAGTTCACATACAATTTAAGCTTAGAAAAACACTGTTTATATATAAAAAATTTCAACACTATTTAGCATATAAGTTTTTATTAGACAAATATTTTTCAAAACAAGAAAAACAGATATTTTAACATTATATATATTATAACAGTTACAGTTATTGATATATTCATACCTACTTATATATACACATACACATATATCATGTATGTTAACAAGCTTTCAAGGCTCATTTTATAAGGGGCATAACTCCTTAAGTATGACAGGTGTCACAAAAATACCAGTACATTATTTTGATAAGTTAAACAGTAAAAGAAACTATATGCACTTCAATATTTAGAACATATTAAGTATAAACTTGTGATTAAAGGAAAGTAGAGCTGCTGAGCCTTTCCTTTTACTTAATATGTTGCAAATAAAACATAACCTACATTTTCAATGGATGGAGTTACATACAAAATAATATGGAATCTATAGTAGCATCTCCAAGTATGCTAGTTAGTCAGGCTAAGAAAAAAATCTGCTAAAACTATCATATGCCATGTTAAAATTTGTGATGATCAAATGCAATAATTCTTAATTACTATCCATGGATTTCATTGGCTGAAAATGTAGGTCATGTACTAAGAGTGAAAACAGTTAGGTGAATCTAGGCCACTTGTGCTAATTTATTATTCTTTTAGCTAAATCAAGCTGACTCTAGTCTAGATATGTTCATCCTAAAAAAATCTAATATATAACTTCATGCTAAAATGATCTAATATAGACTGAAAAATAAAACTGGAAAAAAAAACCTGTATTATCCTTGATCGGCAGTTGGTATTTGTCTCTGCACTTTAACAACTGGTTATTAAACCACTTAAGTCATGTACCTTTTGGGGGCATATTACTAATAACATTTCTGCACATTACCTTGCCGTACATGAATTAATGCCCCTTATTGTTGCACCAAAATATTTATGCATAATTTAAAATTTAAATGTAATTTACAGTGGCTGGAAATTGTCAGCAAGTATATAACAGATGCATTAAAAATCAAAGGAAAAATGCAATAACTCTGCGAATTTAAACATAAAACTGTCTATTGAACTGTGATAATAAAACAATTTCACATGTGTCCAAGCCACTTTAAATAAAAAATGTCTTCTGAACTGTGGTAATAAAACAATTTCACATGTGTCCAAGCCACTTTAATGAAAATGTCATCTGAACTGTGGTAATAAAACAATTTCACTTGTGTCCAAGCCACTTTAAATAAAAAATGTCTTCTGAACTGTGGTAATAAAACAATTTCACATGTGTCTAAGCCACTTTAATAAAAATGTCTTCTGAACTGTGGTAATAAAACAATTTCACATGTGTCCAAGCCACTTTAAATAAAAAATGTCTTCTGAACTGCGGTAATAAAACAATTTCACATGTGTCCAAGCCACTTTAAATAAAAAATGTCTTCTGAACTGTGGTAATAAAACAATTTTACATGTGTCCAAGCCACTTTAATAAAAATGTCTTCTGAACTGTGGTAACAAAACAATTTCACATGTGACCAAGCCACTTTAAATAAAAAATGTCTTCTGAACTGTGGTAATAAAACAATTTCACATGTGTCTAAGCCACTTTAATAAAAATGTCTTCTGAACTGTGGTAACAAAACAATTTCACATGTGACCAAGCCACTTTAAATAAAAAATGTCTTCTGAACTGTGATAATAAAACAATTTCACATGTGTCCAAGCCACTTTAAACAAAAAACTGTCCTCTTAACTGC